ATTCAATTTAATCATTTTTCTGTGTAATGTATCATTATAATTATAATGACTTTCCTTCAACTATTTTCTTTGCTATATGTATCAAATATTCCAAGATATGTGTCTGAATGTGCGTTTTTTTGACGCAACTTGCATCTCCACACAAATGAATGAATTGCTTTCCTATCGAAATAAAGCTATTCAGTCTACTTAAATCAATTGTTTTGTTTTGTTTGTTTTTCAACCTTTACGCATATCTCCACTCTCCACGGGGCCCCTAGCGGCCTAGCGGCCGTCGTTCACCCGCTACGAACCTGCCAAGAACAGCCTCTGCCTGGCCTGCAACAAGCCCTCATAACGCCTGGTAGGTAGGCAACGTCATGTCTGCAGGGCACGCGTGTACTGCGGGGTGGCCTACCCCGAGTCTCGCAGGCGCCGAGCTGCCGTTTATTTACCGAATGAATTCGAGTAAAATGGCGGCACTTTCTGGACGGTCCCAAGTCTCTTTGTCAGGGCCGCCTGCCGCCGCCGAGTGACGACCATCAGCTTCTCGTCGAGGGCGCGTGCTCCGACCCCGGCCATCCTGGGCCAGCCACTCGCTGCTCGCGTCTTTTACGTTTTGTTAGAGGCGAACCTGTAGCTTTGACACTTTCAAGTGCCATTCTTTTATCAACCACCTCGACCTGCTCACGTCCTGCCTCCGGCCCCTCTGTCCGCGCTGCACCGCAAGCGACGACGTCACACCGGCGAGCCGCGAGGGCCGCGAGCGGGAGTCGACCGCGGGGTTGAAAAAGTAAACAGCACGAATTAATTTATCATGTTAATTGCAAACGGCTGCCGGTGAGTAATTGTAAGCCGAGAGGAGCCGTCGGTGTGGGTATCGGTGACCGCGCTGCTCTCTCCACCCGTGACTGCGACTGGAAACCGAAGGGAAGGGAAAGCTCAGTCGTGAATGATGGCTGTCGCCGAGAGGTATGACTCGCGCTACTGCTGCCGCCGCGGCCGCTTGGGAAGGGAGGGAAGTAGTGCTCCTGGTCCGAGCCGTGCGATACCACTAAAAGCACCGAGAAATGTTGAAAATCATATCACCTCTGCTTGGCGAACTTTTTTTTTTTTTTTTTTTTTTGCCCTCGCTGGTAGGAGACGAAAGTCGGCGCCCACGTGATAACCGCCTCTCTTAAACGCGATATGGCAGGAAGGAAGGGAATCCAGGAAGCCGGCCATATTGTCCTCAGAGGCCACGATAAGCACAATAGGTTACTTGAAAAACCAGCGATGCAATCATTTTCGGTGTTAAAACTCCTGTGTGATCAGAGTTCCTGTGCCGTTCCCCGAGGTGACGCGAGGCCGAAGTAACATTGGGCGACAAACGCCCCCCCCCCCTCCCCTCCCGAAGTTGGGCTGGGCGCTCTGGGCGGGCCGTCATCTTCACACAGCTGCTTGGCGGGTTAGCCTACCCAGCGCGTGGCAGGCGCTAAGTGGGCTCGTGAGACGTGCAACTATGGGGGCACCCTCTGACGTTCCCTCTCTTGTGTACTCGCACAGATGCGTTACCTAGTGGAACGTCACTATCTAGAACGGTTTTGCGTAGGCAAAGTAAACAAGCTATTCTTTTCTCCATAATACAAACAGGCCTGGTTTGTGGGGGAGTCCGAGGTTTTTCGTCATTCTTGATCTGGCTTTGCGGGTAAATTATCACTCAGTTAGGGAAACATCGGGGGCACTTCGTCTTCTGGTAGAGACAGTCTTGGGCACTGTCACTGTCGAAAAAGCAGAAGCTTTGTATAAAAATAGATCGCAATGAGGCCCCAGGGAGTGGCCCAGCCTCCATCTAGACTCAGAGGCACCTAGAGCCCATCCCAGGGCAGCCCGGGTGAGGCGTGCATTGTCAGAAATATAAAATCGGCTGCAATGCACGACTGCAAACGCACCAGCACCAGCTCTCCCGCCTCGCCCCGCCAGCCCCGCCCGCAACGCCCGCAACGCCCGCCACGCCCCACCACGCCACTGCTGATGCCCATCCAAGGAAATCGAAAGCTGTCCTGCCGAATGGCTTTACGCTGGAATGCTCCTATGCGCTCATTGATCTGTTGCGGCTGCTGACCAGAAACTGAAAGTGAGGCAACCGAAAGCCTGTTCTAAGTAATCTCCCGCTTAAACAAAAATTTGAACATTTTTTAACGGCCACCATGCCCTCCAAGACTACAAGTACAAGCCTCCCACCTGCACACACTCATGGGCGGTGTTCATTATCTTTCAGTAAATGCGTAAGATTTTATACGTAGGAGTGTAAAAATTAAAGTGACTTTACCTCTCCGAACTGAGCGATGTTTGTTCATCGCCCTATTCTCTGGTAATCCAAGTGCAGAACTGTTCTACAGTTATAAGTGTAGAAATAAAAAGTTCTGCAGTTCTAAGTGCAATTTTCTGGCTAGGACTTATAAAAACATTCTTTTTTCTGACGATACCATCGTCTTCGTCTTAAAATTTTCTTTCAAACAAGCATTTGACAGGGTTACGACTTTAATTAAAACAGGTATGCGAAAGTTTTCTAGAGTTAATTTGAGGACTCGTATCCGTTTCAATTTACGTCGCAGCCCTATCACATATATACTCGTTTGAAAGATAATTTGAAGACGAAAACGATGGTGTCCTAAAAAAAAGTTCTTAATCATGGTCAGAACATCGCACTTGGAACTGCAGAACTTTTTATTTCTATACTTATAACTGTAGAACACTTCTGCACTTGGATTAGCAGAGTTGGAGCGATGATTGCGAAGACGACTAAAACTGAGTCATAGGGATGGATTGCTTGAGGCTCACTATTTTAGCTAAAATTGGGTATGTTAATGTCGGAAAACAGGTGAGTGTCAAATGTTGAAATATATTTAGGATTCAGTATCATTATACTACTGGTGAATTCGATGAGTTACTACGGCCCACGCTTTAACGCCTCGGGCCGTGATTAAATTAAAATACATAGTGAACACGCGGAAAAGGAAATAACTGTAAACGATTCATTTTCCAAAAGCGGAAACTCTTCTCCTGTTCGCGTTTCATCGACCACGCACGATTGGACAGGAAGGATGAGGGGCGCAGGCGGCATAGGGGGAAGGCCGGGGAGAGTAGGCGGGAGCCTCAGCGGCGGGAGCCCGCCTGCCTCCCGAGCCGTGCCGGGTGCAATTCGTACGAGTTTCCGGTCGTCGCCAGTGCGTGCGGAGAAGTGCGGAGTGCGGCCGTCGTGGCTGACTGGCGGCCAATTTGAGTCGTTTACTCCCCTCGTACCTTCCCCCTCCCTCACCCCCCCCCCTTTTCGAGCTCCATGTGTATACGACGTTGAAAGATCGTGTACGAAAAAGGGCAAATCGCATTCGAACTGGATTCTTTTGGATCGCCCGGAAAGGCAGTAGGGTCACAGACGGAGGGAAGTACCACCAGAGCTCTACTGTGCGCACGTACGTGTGTGGTTGTGTAAAGACGCAGGAGCAGGGGCTATACCTGCATGGTTAGAGTGTGTTGCCAACCTTTACACCAGGGCACGTGGTTTTACGTCGGGGAAAAGGGGAAGGGTCATCAACCGTTTCGAGACCCCTGACAGGTAGGGAATCTCGGATTTTGATGCGAATAAGTTAGCAAGGAAGACACCTTTAAAGTCAGTACGCTATGCGAAAGTAGTTCTTTCAATTTTGAAAAACGATGTCTTTTGTTGTTTGACCATGTCTTCAATCTTAATTGTCTCAGCAGAAAAAGTGCTTAGCGAAGTAATTTTTTTTCTCGTCAAAACGCCGATGGAAGTGCCTTGAGTTCCAACTGCTGGGACACTTCGTTTTCTAGATATGCGGCCGAACAACAAACAACGTCGTTTTCAAAGCGAAAAATCACTGTTTTCGGCTCGGTTTTCGGTCATAAACGTCGTCTAAGGCTGAAGATGCAGTAGCAACGTAGCGACTTCGAGGGTATCTGACTTCCTATATAAATTCTGCACAACCCCCAAACGTGAGATAGTCGTTCCCAAGGTTATGACTTGAGCGAGACGTGGTATCGTTTTTCCTTGGAGACCCAACTTCGGCCAATCCGGACTATGGGTGTCAAAGGTTAGCCGATAGATCAAAATGGACCCTGCTGCTAGTCTTCGGATATCTTGGAGTACTTGAACTGCACCCAGTACTGACCGGACCGAATGAAAAGGTATACAGGGTGGTCCATAGACCCCTATCTTTATTTTGCTTGTACTGTACCGCATGCAGGGGGGGGCTTGCCTACCGTCGGTCACCACGGCGCGCCGCCTGCCTTACAGCCCCGAGTGACTATGCCACCCGCACGCACGCCTGCATGCGGTACAGTATCAGCAAAATAAAGGAAGGGGTATGTCGACCACCCCGTGTGAAACACAACACCCCCATCATATGGTCGCCGCTCGGATGCATATGTTCCCACACCCGGGCCGCACGGCCGCACGTTGACCCGGGCGTAGAAAGTAAAACCGTGTCGCCGACACGTGGCCGACACGTGACGCGACGCAACAACACTCGTTACTCGATATGGCGAGGCGTGGCGTGGCGTAGCGTGGCGTGGCGTGGCGCGATGATTGATGCTGCGCGGCTGACGAGACGATCAGGCGAGGGTTCGAGACCCGTCCGCGTCCAGAGCCGCTGCG